AGGGGAAGAGAACCAGGCGCGCACGCCGCCGTCGTCGTCGTTTCGCGTCTAACCTCGTTTTGCGCAACTCCCGATTTAATCATGTTGCACGACTAAAACGTAGCCTTTTCATTTTCGTAATAAACCCTACCTTGCGCGCGAACGACGACGAGGAAGAGAGGGAGGAAAGGGAGAGACGCTAGAAGAAGCCGCTGGGAACCTTATTACGTTAAGTAAATGCGCGAGCCCGCCGTGTTCGTCTAGCGGCGCATTAATTAATGCGTCAAGTTTGACGTGCACGTTGCCTGCCACGATTACATCGCAAATTATTTTTGCAATTTGCGCTCGAACGAGCGTTTTTTTTTTTTTTAACAACGCGAAACCCTTAATCCTCAAGTATCAACTTTTCCGAAGTCCGGTTTGTTCTTATGCGAGATTTTTATTATAGTGATTTTTATTATGTGCAAAAAAACAAAAGCTTGAAATTACAGAGAAGTGACAGTTTTTTTTTTTCTGCAATTTTGGGTCAAGAGAGATTTCGCTCGATAGATTTCATACGCTCGCGAGATTCATGCGCGAGATGCGATTTTATATAAATTGATTAAGTCTGACCTAATTATAGCGGGCTTAAAAGTTCGCGCGCCCGGTATATAGAACGTGTCATTTTGTGCGCGCGATTAAGACGGTAGTCCTTTAATTCTTTGTAACAATAGACGGTGAGGGCACGCGCGCGCGCGCGCGGCGGAAGGGCGCGAGCCTCCGGGGGGTGTGCTAAGGAAAATTTTAGACTCGTGGACGTCGACAAGCTGATCGAAAGCCCATTTAATCCCCGAGCCGCGAAGAGAAACAAAACGCGTCGAGAGATCGCGTCGAGTTTTCCCGTTTCCAATTAACCAGAGCAAACTGTGATTTATCTCATCGCGAGTTGGGGGGAGGGGGTGCGAAACATATACAATACTTTGAGAAAAGGTTCAAATTGATGACAATCCCGTCGCGCGTCTTTGCATTGAAATTCTCACTCGCGGCGTGTTTTTTCTCCGGTGGAGATACGGAAGTTGGGCGCCCCAATTAAAATTGACTTATAATTAATTGATACATGTTTAATTTGCGCGGGAAAAAAACACTCGCCGAATTGACGTAGACCGGAAGCACGAATTTTTCTTGACTACCAATGTGGATTACCAATTACTCGCTCGATCGCATTCCCGATTAAAAACAGACATAGACGTCGCGAGACCACACAATCCCTTCCTTGGTACTCGCTTCGGGATTAGCGATGAAAGTGTTTGCAAACTTGATTTTTTTTTTCCCGTGGTGCTTTCTCTCTGGCGAATTAGTCGACGCTCAAGTTCCGATCGTCGACATTTTCGAGAGTTTTCAATTATCGGAAACAGTCCGTCATCGTCATCATCGATCGCCTTTTTGCGCGGTCACAGCTTTGACTCCTGATCTAACTCTGACGTGTTCTTTTTGCATAAATGAATATTACCCGGCGATATTTAAATGCTTTTTTTTTTTTTCAACACTGGTTTCTTAAATATCTTATAAATGCACGTGTGTAAAAAAAAATCACGACGAAACACGATTATCTACGTTACATACGCGTTGTAAAGTTTAAACTAAAAAACAAGATGACCTGCATATATTATCGTTAATATTGTTGGCATTAAAAAAAAAAAAAAAGTAGGAAAACGATACCCGGAAGAGCTGCGACCCACTCCGACGTTTCTTTGCTCAAGATTGCGGAGATACGTGGGACTAACGAATAAAAAACCGTGATAGAGAAACATTTTTTATCTGCTTATCCTCACACGACGCATCTGTTACTTTATGAAGTCATTCATGCACCATCAAAAGATTTAAGAGATATCCGATACGTGTCAACATCACACGACGCGATAAAAAAAAAAAAAAAAAAAAAACTACCGATAATTTATATTTTTTATTTTTACAATCAAGAAATTTGTGCTTTTTGGTAACTTGTTTTTTCTTTAGTTTAAATTATAAATTTTCAATACATAATTAACTCCTTCTTTTTCAAAATCTGAAATTTTGGATTTTTGTGTCGAAAGAAAGTAACATCTTTTTTTTTTTTTTAACGCAAAGAAACATTCGGACGATAAAAGCAGCAATATATGCAAATGGTGTTCACAGATGTGTACGATCGAATGATAAAACTCGGTTTTATTGCCAATACAACACACCGCGAGCAAATATTGATTAATTATCAAACAAACGAAAGTATAATTTCATCCCGAGCTCTCTGTGACTTCGATTGACTTCGCTGCTTATCTTTTTCGCAATCAATCGCCAGTTCTTGGCGATCTCGCGATCTATCGCGAGTCCGATCCTTGGCTATCTCTACCTGTCGTTTCGCACCTTATTGCTATTTATCCTAAAATCAATTCTCGCATGTCACGCTAATGTAAAACACGACACACTTCTCTATCCTGTAACCTAGAAAAGCTCACAGATTCAACATTTACGTAGATATATATATACGCGTTGTGTGCTCAATTCATTACGTTACGTCGTAACTACTTATTGACTGTCAAAATGTACAAATATAAAATCGAATCGTTATTCAGCGACACACAAGTGACATCACACTCAGGCGTCATCAAATATTACACGCGCAAACGTCGTCGTGCGGATTCGTTCGCCACATTGATTTCGCTCGTTGCGAAATAGTAGTTATAGTTATACGTTTCTCTCCTCTACTGCGAAAGCAACAGTAAACGCGTTTGATTAATTGGAATTGCGCGATTGTTATTATTATTACGCGGAGATCTCGCGGGGCAGCAGGAAAACTCGCGGTTCTGAAGCGCGCGCGCGCGCGCGTAAAAAGATCGGCGTATTATTTCTTTCTTTTTTTTTTTTTTTATATTTTTTTTTTTTTATTTTATTTCGAGGAACCGAGTGACGGCGAGTGCACTTAACGACCGTCAAATAAGTATTACGACGTACAAAATGATCGATCGCCGTTACACATCTGCGCACTTTAAAGATACGAGCGAAAAGCAACCATCGCCGCTGAGTAAAAATCGTGACTAGGCCTTTCTCGCATCGGCAGGAAATTAATCATAATAATTCCACAGACACGCACGCGCGCGCACACGTGTACACTACACACCGATGTGTGTGTGTGTGCGCGCACGCGGTTGGACAATAATTCTGATCGCACCTTCGTCATTCATTATACAAGGCCAGACAGTATACGATCGGTGAACGTGAAATTCGCAGATTCACCCAACGTGTAAAGTACGCCGACGGAAAACAAGACAACTTTTTTTTTTTAGAGAGAGAGAGAGAGACGATGCTATAACGCGCGCTACTTGAAATTACTTATATTGCGCAATGAGAGAGAGACTTAATTAAAGAAATACGCGAATCTTCCCCTGTATATAAGATACGACAATCGCGATAATTTTTTACACACGATCGGATGTGTCGGACCTTTTGTTTCAAATACAAACATCTATAAGCCACCCCCGCGATTACCAATCAACAATGTTCAATAACGAAGACAGGATGAGATTATTATTATTATTTTTTTTTTATATTAAAAATAAAACACATCTCGCGTCTCCGAAGTTTCTTTCGAACCTCGAGAGAAAAACGGTGAGAGAAAGCGAGAGAGTTCGTTCGTTCGTTCGTTCGTTGTGCAAAGGGGTTAAACCCGAAACGTTTTGGGGGGTCCTCGCGGAGGAAGTTGACCCAGGTGCGAGTCTTCATCCCGACGGGAAGATCGGGAAGATCTTGCGCGCGATGCAACGAAAACACAGTTTGCGTCCTGTCAGTTGCGGGCCTGTGACTCGCGTATTAAGTTCGGTATTGGTACGTCGCGACACAAACGACTGCTGTATTTTACAGCGAGGGTGGTCGCCGTGCGCGCGCATCAAAGCGCACCAGAGCGCATTTTATTTCTTTCGTTCTATTCAAAGGCGCCGTCTTGGAGATGGTGTTTGCGCAACAAATGACTTCGACCAGATCAAACACGGCGCGAAATTCTGAACGAGAGAGAGAGAGAGCGAGCGAGCTCGCGCACGCGAGCGCAGACGAAATGTCGGGGCGAGCGCGCGCGCGAAAATACACGTCAGACAGCTCGAGAGTGAGAAAAGATAAAGATCTATCGGCGATCAATAATAATAATAAGCATCGGGGAAATGCGACGGAGAGAGCGAGCGAACCGACGCGGATGTTTTTCACGCGAGTTTTCTTTGCGAGTGCAATATATATATAATAACGCGCGAAGTCTCTCGCGCTCGCAAAAATCGCTCTGTGTTATTTATTTTCGGACAAGGTCTCCGCGTTTTATCGAAAATACCAATCTCACCGGCTCCCGGGTTCTTTTGTCGAGTTGTGAGATAAAAACAAAAAAAAAATCGAATATAAGGAAGGAGAGGACACACGTAAAGACACGTTACAGAAGTTACGATTTCATTGTAGATGATTGCCCGCAATTACGCGCAGCAGGGTGTTCGTATCACCCGGAGGGGGGGAGGGAAAAAAGTGGAACGCGCTACTAATTACGCGCTCTGATTACTCTAATCAGTGAGAAATAATACTTTCGGTCGTCCGCGAAGATTACTTTTGATGGTCCACCATTTTTCTAACTAATAATCGGACGCGCGCATTTTTTCGGCAACAAAAAAATCACGTAGTTCGCTGAGAAAAATTACTTTTTTTTTTGTGTAGAAATAGATAAGTTCGCGCAAGAAATCTATTAAAATATAAAGCGTGACGTGAGAGAGAATTAATAAAAAAATATAAAACACAAAAACATTTTTCGACGACTTTCCGCGAGTGACGCGGACGAGACAGAGAGTTTCGAACTCTCTAGGCTTTGCTTTTCCGTTGCTTTTTCGAAGATAAGCGCGTTAAAATAAAAATGTTATTTTCGTTTTAAAAAAGGTTCGGGGGGGGGAGGGGGGACCCGCCATCGCGATGTCGAAGTTTCAGGATCATAATATAAAAAGGATGTGCTCTCATATAAATTGAAAGTTCATAGTAGGACTTACCCGGCGATATCCCGAACGCGGCTCTGCAGGATCGTTTTCTCAAAGGGCTCTTCGGGGATCAGGCTGCAAAGCAATTGCGTCGCACTGGCGGCCACCATACCGCTTCCGGTTGAATTGCCGGATACATCCTGAGTCTGAGCGTGGTCGTCGAGACTAGTCAGAGTCTGTGATGCAGAAAAAACGTAATGGTCACAAACTCTGCGACGGGATACTTTTATCAAGTATCTTTCAAATGATCCTTAAAGCGAGATTGGAGATACCGTTATAGAGAAATATATTCCTTTTGTTTAAAGTTCAAAGACAAAATCACTTTCTCGCGACCGCGAGAACACATATATATACACCAAAAAAATTGTATTCTTGTTTTGAGGATATCCCACTTACTTTAAGTATATTTTATACTAAAATAGGCGCCAAGAAGAGTTTCTTATTTTAAGAGGAAAATCCTCTAAATAAGTAATATTGATAAGAATATATACTGATTAGAATATAAAAAGCCTCTGTAGAAAAACATATATATATCTCACTATCGAAAAAGACTATATTCTTAAATTAAGAATATATTCTTTATTTAAGAATATATTC